CCTAAACCCTAAACCCTAAACCCTAAACCCTAAACCCTAAACCCTAAACCCTAAACCCTAAACCCTAAACCCTAACCCTAAACCCTAAACCCTAAACCCTAACCCTAAACCCTAAACCCTAAACCCTAAACCCTAAACCCTAAACCGCCTTTAGGATGCTAGCTTTATAATAACACTCTATAGATCTGCACTACCTATAGGCTAAATGTATCATTGCTAAATGTATCATTGCTGTACCGGTTGATCTACTCTTCGCAGAGGCGTGAATCGCCTTAAAATAAGCACAACAATGAGATGATGTGGAGATGGAGAAGAGTGTTCGAGGAACAACAATTTGAAGACGATTCAACATGGAAAACAAAATTGAAACATGTGCTTCTTTGTGTAAGCAAAATAAAAAATTTTGATTTTCTAGAATATATATGCTCCAAGGAAGTATGAATCGAATTCTTTAGTTTTGCTAAAAATACATGCAAATAGAACTATAGCATATGTTATATTATTGAAGTCTTTACAAACTCTAATACTTATGTGTTCATTTAAAATTGGCCAATTCAATATTGGGCCATTCAAAGTTGGACCTAACACTATACCTTGCAACACAGGGTTCTCCAACTAACTTAATAATAAATATAGCAACAACTTACTTTATATATAACTCACTGATCATCTTGGTTGCCATTGAACATCTTCTTGAAACATGCCACCTTCAATGTTATAACTATAAGTATCCAGTGTTGGACATCATCCACCCATTGAAAATAAGCATATCTCCAATTTTTTACAAAAATCAAAGTTCCCACGACCCCCCAAAATCCAGTTGCAAAGCCTAAGAACACGACAATGTAAAACCACATTCTTTTAAGTGTACGTTCATCATTGTCCTTGAAGTTGGCAGTTGTCGGAGGTAGTGTATCATTTGAGCATTGGTTCAAGAGTGGACTTCCACAAAGTTGAGGATTGCCAGCATACATGGTTGGATCTTCGAGTGTTTGGAGTTGATAGCCTGTTGGAATTGGCCCTGACAAGTTGTTGTAGGACAAGTTGAGGTGGCTTAACTTGGTTAAACTTGACATGCTGTTCGGGATCATTCCTGAAAGGCCATTCTTGGAGAAATCAAGAGATTCCAAATTCTCCATTTGTCCAATTTTCTCAGGGATCTGTCCTGAGAGATGATTCCAAGACAGATTCAAATTGTGCAAATCCTTAAGGAATATTAGCTCCTCTGGAATGGATCCTGTTAGATTGTTACTTGAAAGATCTATACTAATCTCAAGTCTCAGAGTTTGTCTTTTGTACTCAAGGTATCTCCCTTTCACAACCTCCATCAAAGGCGCCTCATACCAATACTCATAAGTTGAGTCATCGATCAATTGTGTTGCATTCACCATAATCGGAAACTTTCCAAAACAAGGAGGAATCCTTCCCGTCAAATTGTTATCCGCAAGATCCAAAATTTGCATTTGAGAGAAAGAGCATAGTTCCAAAGGAATATAACCGGAAATCAAATTTTTTCGTAGACGGAGAACCTTTAAAGAGTGGTTGTTGATCTCCCTCCTTACAATGCTTGTTAAATTTCCAGAAAATTTATTTTCACCCAAATCCAAAACCACTAAAGAAGTTAAATTTTTCAACGCCACATGCAGTCCCCTATGGAGACTATTGTTGTTCAAGTGCAATAAAACTAAAGAAGAAAGTTGCCCCATTCTGCTCGGAAATGAGCCTGAGAGATTGTTAGAAGATAGATCAATAAAAAAGAATGATTGATCATTTCTCCAACAATTAGGAATACTTCCAGATAACATATTATTTGAGAGATCAAGATATCCCAAAGGTTTTGAATTGCATAGCAACTTTGGAATATTTCCAGATAGCATATTGCTTGAGAGATCAAGTGCAAACAAATATTTTAAATTGCATAGTGACTTTGGAATTGAACCATTCAAGAGGTTATTTGCAAGATATAATCTCTCCAACATTGGCATCATATGACCTATGTTTTTTGGAAAAGGACCTGAGATACTAGCATTAGAGAGATAAGCTATGTTTATTGTCTTTGGTAATTGAAGCCATTTAAAAAATCCTATTCCAAATTGATTGTTAGAGAGAGATATTTCCTCTAACTTAGAAAGTTGCCCGATGCTGTCTGGAATACTCCTCAGTTGATTCCCAGAGAGATACATGCTCTCTAACTTAGAAAGTTGTCCGATGCTGTCCGGAATACTCCTCAGTTGATTCCCAGAGAGATACATGTTCTCTAACTCAGAAAGTTGCCCGATGCTGTCTGGAATACTCTTCAGTTGATTCCTAGAGAGATAGATACTCTTTAACTTAGAAAGTTGCCCGATGCTGTCTGGAATACTCCTCAGTTGATTGTCAGAGAGATACATGATCTCTAACTTAGAAAGTTGCCCGATGTTGTCTGGAATACTCCTCAGTTGATTCCCAGATAGATCCATGATCTTTAACTTAGAAAGTTGCCCGATGCTATCTGGAATACTCCTCAGTTGATTGTCAGAGAGATCTATGCTCTCTAACTTAGGAAGTTGGCTGATGCTGTCTGGAATACTCCTAAGTTGATTGTCAGAGAGATCTATGCTCTCTAACTTAGGAAGTTGGCTGATGCTGTCTGGAATACTCCTCAGTTGATTGTCAAAGAGATTTATGCTCTCTAACTTAGGAAGTTGCCCGAGGCTATCTGGAATACTCCTCAATTGATTCTTAGAAAGATCCATGCTCTCTAACTTAAGAAGTTGCCCGATACTATTTGGAATACTCCCTAGTTGATTGTCAGAGAGATCTATGCTCTCTAACTTAAGAAGTTGCCCGATACTATCTGGAATACTCCCTAGTTGATTGTCAGAGAGATCTATGCTCTCTAACTTAGGAAGTTGTCCGATGCTGTCTGGAATACTCCCTAGTTGATTGTCAGAGAGATCTATGCTCTCTAACTTAGGAAGTTGCCCGATGCTGTCTGGAATACTCCCTAGTTGATTGTCAGAGAGATCTATGCTCTCTAACTTAGGAAGTTGCCCGATGCTGTCTGGAATACTCCTCAGTTGATTGTCAGAGAGATCTATGCTCTTTAACTTAAGAAGTTGCCCGATGCTCTCTGGAATACGCCTCAGTTGATTCTTAGAAAGATCCATGCTCTCTAACTTAAGAAGTTGCCCGATACTATCTGGAATACTCATTAATTGATTCTCAAAAAGATCCATCCTCTCTAACTTAGAAAGTTGCCCGATGCTATCTGGAATACTCCCACTCAATTGATTGTAAGAAAAATCTATGCTCTCTAACTTAGAAAGTTGCCTGATGCTATCTAAAATACTCCCACTCAATTGATTGCTAGAAAGATAAAGAACTATCAAGGAAGTCATGTTTTGGAGAAATATAGGTATTGGACCTTGGAAAAAGTTACCTGAAAGATCTAAGTGTTGAATATTGCCAAGTAATGTAAAATTAAAGGGATGGTTGTAAGATGGCAAGTGACAATTTTTGAGACTGCAACTTGACAAACTTAACCATGATAGTGAAGGAAGCATGCCAAGCACTTGAAACAAGTTTGATGATGTATGGCTTAGATTTATTCCGCTCATATCAAGAAATGTCAATGAAGTCATGTTTTGGAGAAAAATAGGTATTGGACCATGAAAAGAGTTATATGACATATCTAAGTGCTGAATATTTCCAAGCAATGTAAAATTAAGGAGGTGGTTGTGTGATGGTAGGTAAGAATTTTTTAGACTACAAGCTGACATACTCAACCATGATAATGAAGAAAGCATGCCAAGTACCTGGAACAAGTTTGATGAGGTATGGCTTAGATTGACTCCACTCATATCAAGTCGTTGCAAAGAGGAGAGACGAGAAAACCACTGAATGTCATCATCAACCTTCAATCCCCCATAATAATCCTGAGAAAGATCAAGGATATGAAGCCTTGTAAGATTTCCAAGTTCCCTAGGAATTCTTCCTCTAAACTGCGCATAAGAGAGATTTAGGTATCTCAACTGCTTCATCAAGCCAAAAGGGGGTGGAATAAGATTGCCACTGAAATTATTGTTGCTCAAGTCCAGGTGTTCCAAGTATCTCAACTTGAGCAAACTTGAACCAACCTCCTCTACATCGTCAATCAAGTACAATTGAGGTTGTTGATTGGCAAATACTGATCCCCTGAGTTGAAGGAAGATAACATATCCGTTATTTTTATCACAGCCTACTCCTCTCCATTTACAACAGTCATTGCCTTCCCAAGAAGACAACATATGCGATGGATCATGGAAACAAAGTTTGAACTTCAAGAGGGCTTCTCTCTCCTTTTCTATGCAGCTAAAGCTTGTGTTCCGGCCGGAACAAAACTCTGCAGCTCCAAAGAACAAAACAGCAACTAGAACAAGCATAGCACTGAAAGTTTCCCTCATAATGATGTTTTCAATATTATATGGAAGATGAGATGTGATATTTAATTTTGCTTGTACATTAATATATAGTCCCATGGCAAATAAAACACCTTTCCCCGAAGTTACACTAAAGATAAAGATTCCGAGTAAGTGATTTAAAGCAGCCTATATTTGTATTTCGATCATGATCACTCGAGCGCGTTCGCCAAGACTTAGATGTCTTTTTGGTCCTTATTGCTTTAAAGTCAATTTAATTGGTGCTTTCATTGTCCTTTTGCCCCACCATAATAATAATACAGCTTTTACAGGTCTTGTGCTACTGTTGTGCAACGTGAAGACTGGAAAAGTTTGAAAAATGGCATTCAATTCTTAGAGATAACTATGGTTCGTGGAAATTTCTTCTCTTTCAACTATCATGGAAATTTTTGGTCATCATGATTATGGTTTAAATATTGTGTGGAAGATTAGATATTTAGATGATCTGAATTTAATTTTTTTCTTTGATAACAGATGATTTTATTTTTATTTCTTTTGATGAATGGATGATTTTTAATTTTGGTTGCACATTAATATTATAATGGCAAATCTTAAGCTCTTGAACTTACCCTATCCTTCCACACAAGCCCCTAAACTATCATTTTAAACTTATAAGCCCTTAGCCCTTGTATTTATGCCAGAAGGAAACCCTTTGTCAACGGTTCCGCTAGTTTCCGTAAACAAATCTAATCACAGCAGTCAAAGAAAAAGGTTGAATTGTAGTTTAGTCAATATATACTTTCATATTTAACAAAAATTACTTCTTTCATTTTTAACTAAATTTGCTAAAAAAAA